TTTCCTGGAGAAGTTGGCATAACATAGAGTTTCCCCAAAGTCTGCAGGATTTTACAAGAATATAATTTCAGAGGGCAGCCAAGCTGATCTGCATTCAAGTCCAGCGGCACAAACAACATTTTTGGGGGTATTATAACTATCCTATGGCATTGTGTGTAGAATAGCCAGGAGATCCTAAGATTGTCTGGCAGCCAAAAGTTCTAGCTCTTTACCATTATGCACCACTAGGGGGTGAGGTAGACTTGTTTTTAGGGCTGAGAGAGCTGTGACTGACCCAAGGTCACCCAGCAGGCTTCATGCGGAGAAGGACTTGAACCCGGTTCTCCAGATTAGAGTCCACCGCTCTTAACCACTACACCAAGCTGGCTTTGAGTCAGAGTGGCCTTTGTCAGATCATCTTGTATGTTGTTGGAGGCCCCCCCAAAGCAGGCAAACGCCCGGCAGTGACCTTCCTCCTCCTCCTCCTCCTCCTCCTCGTCTCCCAGATTAGAGTCTGCGCACTTAACCGCTGCACCAGACTGTGCTCAAGCTTGAAGCCACCCTAGAAGCTAAAGATAACTGAACTTGGTCACATCATGAGAAGACAAGACTCAGTGGGAAAGGCCATCACGCTAGGAAAAGTGGGAGGCGGCAGGAAGAGAGGACGGCCCAAACGGAGATGGGTTGAATCAGTTAAGGAAGCCGCAAAGGCCCTCTGTTTGCAAGACCTGAGCGAGGCTGTGAACAGGAAGATGCTTTGGGGGACACTGAATCAGAGGGCCGTCATGAGTCAGAAGAGACTCGACGGCGCTTCGCACACATAAGTAGGCGCCAAAACGCAAGGACTGGGAAGCGGAGGTGACCCACCCAGGGGTCAATTCCTGCAGGGAGCGCACAGGAGCGGAGCTCCGGCAGTAAGGAGCCCAGGGGGCGGGCACATGCAACAGGCCCCTCCCCCTGCTCCCAGCAGCCCTCAGTCAGAGCAAGAAGCAGCCAGGTAAGCTGCAGAGCCCCCTGGCCCAAAACAGTCCAGTGGCACCTTTAAGACCAGGTTTTATTCAGGTACAAGCTTTCCCTCCTCTGCGAGGACAGATCTGCACGTTTCCCCCCCCCCCCAATAGCTAGCGATCCAAAACTGTCCAGCGGCATCTTTAAGACCAAGTTTTATTCAGGTAGAAGCTCTCCCTCCTCTGCAAGGACAGATCTGCACGTTCCCCCCCACCATAGCTAGCGATCCAAAACAGTCCAGTGGCACCTTTAAGACCAAGTTTTATTCAGGTACAAGCTCTCCCTCCTCTGCGAGGACAGATCTGCACGTTCCCCCCCCTCCCCCATACCTAGCAATCCAAAACGGTCCAGTGGAACCTGAGCGGTGGGTGTTGCCTTCTGACACACTTCCGGTGATGTCAGGGGGTGTGGCATATGCAAATAAGTTACGATAATGAGCTCCTGCACCTCTTTTTCTACAAAATGACCCCTGGACCACCCAAGGAGGAGCAACGGAACAGCCGCTTCGGACACAGCAAGGATGCCGGGGAACACCTGTGACAATCCCTTCCGGTTCCTCCACGCACCCCAAAGAGGAGGCTACCGACAGGGACCCGGTCCAGCCACGCGGTGCTTCGTACCTACCCGAGCATCCCGGACTCTTTGGTCTTTATGATGTACAGGAACATCAGCAAGGTATGGAACATGTTGTTTCTGCCCTGTGTGTGCAGAGAGGACAAACGAGAGAGTCTGTGAGACGGGGAGTCTTGTGGTCAGGGTTCGGACAGACAAGATCTACGGCTCCAAACTTCTTCCTTTGTTGCCACTCCCGTTTCTGCGCCCTGGGAGCTGCTGATTTTATTTGGTTTCATTTATTTAACCCCAGTGGGGCTACAAAGCCGCTGATGTCACCCTCCTTCTCCTCCCTCTTATCCGGGATGTTCTGTAAGGACGGTGCCAGACCTTCAGTACAGCCCTGCCTGTTGGGCAGGGCAAAAGAGCTACCCCATTCGTGGCCGCCCTCCTCCACCAATGGCAAAACACCAGCTGTCCTGAGAAAACCCGCAGGAGCGATGAATGGATGCAATTTATTGCGGTCCATGACCAGATGCAAGCCCACACAGCAGATCGTTTTTTAAATATGAAGGTATAGATGTTAAAACACTCCAACTGGATGAACAGATAGAGCTCATTAAAATACATATAAAAGTGTATAAATAGCTCCAAAAGGGGATGAGATAGATTCACAGAACAGGGTAGCTCATTAAAATACATATAAAAGTGAATGAAGATAATTAAAAGACGTGTAAAAGTTAATAAAACAGCATCATAAAACCATTTCATTATAAACCTAAAAGTTAAAAGCAGCACTATTTAATCAGATTCCTAATACAATCTAAACTGGAACTCAGAACTTAGAAACAGAACTAGGAGAAGAGATTGGATTTATACCCCGCCCTTCACTCGGGAGTCTCAGAGCGGCTTACAAACTCCTTCCCCTTCCCTTCCCCACAACAGACACCCTGTGAGGCAGGTGGGGCTGAGAGAACTCTCTTGAGAACTGCTCTTGAGAGAAGAAGAGATTGGGTTTATACCCCATGGCCCTTCACTACCCAAAGGAGTCTCAGAGCGGCTCACAAACGCCTTTCCCTTCCCCTCCCCACCACAGACACCCTGTGAGGCGGGTGGGGCTGAGAGAGCTCTCTTGAGAACTGCTCTTGAGAGGAGAAGAGATTGGATTTATACCCCGCCCTTCACTCGGAGTCTCAGAGCGGCTTACAAACTCCTTTCCCTTCCCCTCCCCACAACAGACACCCTGTGAGGCAGGTGGGGCTGAGAGAGCTCTTTTGAGAACTGCCCTTTCAAGGACAGCTCTTGTCAGAACTATGGCTTGCCCAAGGTCATCCAGCAGCTGCATGCGGAGGAGCGAGGAATCAAACCCGGTTCTCCCAGATTAGAGTCCGCGCACTTCACCACGACACCAAACTGGCTCAGCCTCTCTGCCCTGTGGTTGGCTCTCCAGAGGCACTGGTTGGCCCATCTGTGAGACAGGATGCTGGACTGGATGGACCCTCACTGGTCTGATCCAGCAGGGCTCTTCTGATGCTCTAATGGCTGGAGATGAGATGTAATTCCAGGGGATCCCCAGGCCCCACCTGGAGACGGGCATCCCTGTTTGCAAGTGGGGTTTGCCGTTTCACGCAGAAAACCCCACTTGCAAAGCGCACTGGGAGTGGATTGGAAGTGCATGACTCAGTGTGTGGCGAAAGTGCAGAGCAGCAGATCTTTAGGGCTCCACAGCCCACCGTGACCTCCCCGACAATTAGGGGAAAAGTCACATAGCAGTACTCGAGTATATTTGCATTAAGGGACTGAGATCACAAAGGTTGCTTCCACACAGGGATTTTCTCCACGTGGGCAGCAGGAAGTCCCCTGACACTGACACACACACACACTGAAAGCAACAGTGGGATCAGCTGCCTGGGGATGTGGTGAGCTCCCCCTCACTGGCACTCTTTAAGCAGCGGCTGGACAAACCCTTGTCAGGGATGCTCTAGGCTGACCCTGCATTGAGCAGGGGGTGGGACTCACTAGATGGTCTGGATGGCCCCTTCCAACACTTGCGATTCTATGATTCTGCACACACACACAGTAAAACGGAAGATCCAGGCAATGCCATGCCCAGTGTGCCTATGACTCATCTCCCTCTGCGAAGCAACCTTACACTTCCGGGGCAGTCACGTCCCCAAGTACTGACCAGGGCTGACTCTGCTTAGCTTCTGAGGTCTGACAAGGTCAGGTTAGCCTGGGACATCCAGATCGGGGCAAAAAGACAAACAGAGAGGGTTTGCCACTGCCTGCCACCAGTGTTCCCTCTAAGCTGAGTTAGTGTGAGCTAGCCCACAGATTTTTAGCCTCCAGCTCACACATTTTTGTCTTCGCTCAGGAAGGATGGCTCCAGAGCAAACTAACTTATGCAGTAGCCAGATTGCTCGCTCACAACTTTAATGCCAGGAGCTCACAAAATAGAATTTTTGCTCACAAGACTCCACAGCTTAGAGGGAACATCCAGGTGAAGGCAAGAGATAAGCAGAGGGGGTTTGCCCTCGCCTGCCTCTGCATAGCAACCCTGGACTTCCTTGGTGGTCCCCCATCCAAGTAACTGACCAGGGCTGTCCCTGCTTAGTTTCTGAGGCCTAAGGTCAGGGCCCTTCACCTTCACTCCAGAGAACACACAAAACTCACTGCCTTTGCTTTAAAAGGGAAGTGGCAGAGTGGGTGCCTGCGGAGGCCATCTCGACTTCCCCATAGCCACCGTGGGGGTGGGGAGGAAGCGAAATCCCAAGCGTTGCTGTAATGCTGCACAGTGTGGCTGGGAAGAAGGAAGGGGGGGAGAAAAAGCCTGGGTGGGCAGACTGTGGCTGGACAGGCCCCCCACCCCCACTGGGCAATGTGCAAGCGAGACAGGGAGGAGGAGGAGGAGGAGGAGAAGGAGAAGAAGAAGAGGAAAAAGAGATTGGGTTTATACCCCGTTCTGCACTACCCGAAGGACTCTCGGAGTGGCTCACAATCTCCTTCCCCTTCCCCTCCCCACAACACACACCCTGTGAGGGAGGTGGGGCTGAGAGAGCTCTTTCGAGGACTGCCCTTGAGAGAACAGCTCCGAGAGGACTTGTGACTGACCCAACGTCACACCAGCAGGTGCAAGTGGAGGAGTGGGGAACCAAACCCGGTTCTCCCAGATTAGCGTCTGCTGCACTTAACCACGACACCAAACTGGCACCACACCAGACTGAGAAAGGCAAAGGGAAACTCAATCAGTAGGATAAGAAGAAGAAGAGGAAAAAGAGATTGGGTTTATACCCCGTTCTGCACTACCCGAAGGACTCTCGGAGTGGCTCACAATCTCCTTTCCCTCCCCCTCCCCACGACAGACACCCAGTGAGGGAGGTGGGGCTGAGAGAGCTCTTTCGAGGACTGCCCTTGAGAGAACAGCTCCGAGAGAACTTGTGGCTTGCCCAAGGTCATCCAGCCGCTGCAAGTGGAGGCGTGGGGGGCACAGACAGAGAAAGGGGCCCAGGTTTGTCTCCCCAGTTCTTGAGACACCCACTGGATGCTGCCGCCTTCCTACCTTGGGCAGATTGTAGACGTCTCGCTGGTAGATGAGTTCGTAGTGGGGGGGATTGATGCTGCTCTGGTAGATGCAAAACAAGTTCTCGTTCGAGATGTCTGCGGATGACAAACGCACACGTTGCCATGATCAAAAAGCTGTCGCTTCTGCGTGAGGCGGTGCCCGGCTCACTGCTCCTGGGATCGGGCCTGTCCTACGCCGGAGCTGATACTCAAAGCCTTACTGAGCATTCACCGACACCCGCCTTACATGGAACATCATGTGCGGTAAGTTTAGGACCGATAAAAGGAAGTACTCTTCGCCCAGAGAGTCACTAACACGTGGAATTCGCTGCTGCAGGAAGGGGTGGCAGCCACAAGCGTCGCTTCAAGAGGGGACTGGATCAACACATGGAGCTATTAGCCACAAGGTATAGATAGGAACTCTCAGGCTGGGACAAGGGATGCTCTGTATTCTTGGTGCTTTGGGGGTGGGGGCAACAGTGGGAGGGGTCCTAGTGTCTTGGCCCCACTGCTGGCCCTCCTGATGGCCCCTGGTATTTTTGGCCACTGTGTGACACAGAGTGTTGGACTGGATGGGCCATTGGCCTGATCCAAGATTGGCTTCTCTTATGTTCTTCTATGGAGCAGAGGTCCATTAGTGGCTATTAGCCGCAAGGCATAGATGGGAACTCTCAGTCTGGGGCAAGGGATGCTCTGTATTCTTGCTGCTTGTGAAGGGGGTCAACAGTGGGAGGGCTTCTAGTGTCCTGGCCCCACTGCTGGACCTCCTGATGGCCCCTGGTATTTTTGGCCACTGTGTGGCACAGATTGTTGGACTGGATGCGCCACTGGCCTGATCCAACATTGGCTTCTCTTATGTCTGGGGCAAGGGATGCTCTGCCTTCTTGGTGCTTGGGGGGGCAACAGTGGGAGGAGGGCTTCTAGTGTCCTGGCCCCCCTGGTGGGCCTCCTGAGGGCTCCTGGGTTTGGGCCCCTGTGTGACACAGTGTTGGACTGGATGGGCCTTATCCAACATGGCTTCTCTGCTGTTCTTAGGCACAATTTCAAACCGCAGAGGGCACCGGAGCCAGGTAAAAACGGCGCACCTCACTTGCAAAACGACATTACCTGGCTTGTCAGGCATTTGAATGAAGTGCTGGGAGGTGAAGGTCTTTCCGTCCGGGTACTTGGGATGAGGGGGCAGCCGGGAGTCCAGGTAAGTGCAGAACATGTGCATGAGGATCTGGAGGAACAGAAGGACAAGCGCAGCTGAGCGTTCATTCGAGAAGCTGGAGAAACAGCTGCCAGAAGAGAAGAACTCAAAACCCACAGTCCGAAACCCACAGGCCTTCCTTCGGTGACTGAAATCTCATCAAGACACTCGTTTTCTGCACTTTAAAAGTGTTGCGGTTCAGGGGATGCAACGCCCTGTCCAGACAAGCGCACGGATTCCTGCCTGGCTTAGACAACCCCCCCTTCCACACACCAACAGAGCAGTGTTCCCTCTAAGCTGGGTTAGTGTGAGCAAGCTCACAGTTTCTTAGCCTCCAAGCTCAGATTATTTATTGTCTTTGCTCAGGAAGGAGGGCTCCAGAGCAAACTGATTTATGTGGCAGCCAAATCGCTCGCTCATAACTTTAATGCCAGTAACTCACAAAGTAGAATTTTTGCCCACAAGACTCCACAGCTTAGAGGAAGCATTGCAACCGAGCACTAAAGAGAGAGAGCCAGTGGAGAGCCAGTTTGGTGTAGTGCTTAGGAACGCGGACTCTACTCTGGGAGAACCGGGTGTGGTTCCCCACGCCTCCACGTGCAGCTGCTGGTGTGACCTTGGGTCAGTCACAAATTCTCTCAGGGCTGTTCTCTCAAGGGCAGTCCTCGAAAGAGCTCTCTTGGCCCCACCTACCTCACAGGGTGTCTGTTGTGGGGAGGGGGAGGGAAAGGAAAGCTGCTCTAAGACTCGGGTAGTGAAGGGCAGGGTAAAAATCTGATCTCTTCTCCTCCTCTTCTCATCTGGGAGAACCGGGTTTGACTCCCCACTCCTCCACATGCAGCTGCTGGTGTGACACAAGTTCTCTCAGGGCTGTTCTCTCAAGGGCAGTACTCGAAAGAGCTCTCTCGGCCCCACCTACCTCACAGGGTGTCTGTTGTGGGGAGGGGAAGAGAAAGGAGATTGTCAGCCGCTCTGAGACTCCTTCGGGTAGTGAAGGGCGGGGTATCAAATCCAATTTCTTCTTCTTCTTTTAAGCTCCCTTCCACAGGGCAAGGAAGCTTAGTGGTACTTTCAATGCATCTCCAGCAATCCCCCTTTCTGCTCACCCAGTCCTGCTGTATACAACCACCTAGGTCACAGTGAGTCTTTCAAAAGCACTCTGTGGCGTCCTGCTTACTGGGCGAGACTGTTTCTCCTTTTGTGTACATGAACTTAGTAGATTTTCCCTCTGCCACCAGGAATTAACAATTCTAAATCTCTCTATTTTGGTAGAGGTTTATGTGGCTTCAGAGGACTAGGTGGCCCTGAGGAAGGACTGTTCTGATTGCTGGGATAAGTTTAAACAAATAATGATTTATTTATAAAAGAACAAAATAGGTTTCTGGGTATTTTTGAACTGTTGTTGAAGTAAGAAAATATAACTGACGAAGCTTGGCGTCACACACAGTCTCTCACACACCAAAACTCAACCCTGTCAGGCTTATCTCTCTCTCTCTCTCTCTCTCATATAGCCACACGGGCTAAACTCTCTTGCTCATACAGCCACACAGGCTAAACTCTCTCACTCATAGCCGCGCAGGCTAAACTTTCTTGCTCATACAGCCACACAGGCTAAACTCTCTCACTCATAGCCACACAGGCTAAACTCGGCTTCCTCTGTCATACAGACTCTCTCAAAAAAAACAACACACCTCTTCACAAGCACTGAATCACCTCACAGACATCTCTCCTCCCACACTCTCAGTCATCAGCCAATCACATCACATTTGTCTCCCTCTATCACTCTCCTTACATTACTGCAGTCACACTAAACATTTAAAGAAACACACACACCAAAACATGAAATCATTACACACTCTCAGGAGCCTTTACAAATCGTCGATTAGCGCGGACATGATCTAATTAATGCGACGATTAGCGAGAACCTGCTCTAATTAAAGTTCACAAGGATTGGGGTCAGACGGGCGGGGGACGACCCCAACTTCTCCGCACCACAACCCACAACCCCGATTCCTCCAGTGTACACCTCCCGGAAAAAGAGGCAGAACTCACCGCAGAGTCGGTGGGCAAGTCGGTATCCCATTTGCGTGCCTTGAAGTCTCCGCCACGGTTCCATCTGAACGAGCTCATGCACCCGCCTTGGGACAGTTCTGGGGGGGGGGCAGAATGGGACAGCCGATTAGGTTTGGGGCCAGAGGGGAAGGCACTCTCTCAAACTATGCGCACTGTCAACGGCTCTTCACCGGGAGGGCGGACGCGCAAGCAAAACTTAAGACCCAGTGTGGAGTGACGATTAGCATATTTGGGACTAGGGTCTGGAAGACCTGTGTTCAGACCTCCACTCCGGCATAAGGATCACGGGCTGACCTGGGGCCGGTCACCTCTACCTCGCAGGGCTGCTGTGAGGATAAAATGAGGAAGGGAGAGCCATGTACGCCGAGGTTCCATCCTTGTTGTTTCCGTATCATACGGCAAAGAAGTGAAAGCAAAAACACTGAGGTCACGACTGCTGGTGCCGTGCTGTGGTACTTTTCTCCCTTTCTCACAATACAAGAACTCGTGGGCACCCAATGAAATTGCTGAGCGGTCGGGTTAGAACAGATAAAAGGAAGTCCTTCTTCACCCAAAGAGTAACACATGGAATGCACTGCCACAGGAGGTGGTGGCAGCTACAAGCACGGACGGCTTCAAGAAGGAACTGGATAAACATCTGGAGCAGAGGTCCATTGGTGGCTATTAGCCAAAAGATATAGATAGGAACTCCAGGGCAAGGGGTGCTCTGTATTCTTGGTGCTTGGGGGGGGGGGGCAACAGTGGGGGGGCTTCTAGTGTCCTGGCCCCACTGCTGGACCTCCTGAGGGCACCTGGTGTTTTTGGCCACTATGTGACAGAGTGTTGGACTGGATGGGCCATTGGCCTGATCCAACATTGGCTTCTCTTATGTTCTTATATGGAGCAGAGGTCCATCAGTGGCTATTAACCACAAAGTATAGATGGGAACTTTCAGTCTGGGGCAAGGGATGCTCTGTGTTCTTAGTGCTTCGGGGGGCAACAGTGGGAGGGCTCCTAGTGTCCTGGCCCCACTGGTGGACCTCCTGAGGGCACCTGGTGTTTCTGGCCACTGTGTGACACAGAGTGTTGGACTGGAGGGGCCACTGGCCTGATCCAGCATTGGCGTCTCTTATGTTCTTATGACCAGGACTGGGGAGCTCAGGTTTCGAGTAATCCCTCGTGGGGGAGGGCGGAATAGAAACCGAACAAATAAATAAGAGAACTGCTGGGTGACTTTGGGCTAGTCACTAATAATAATAAACAATTATCATATGGCAGTGTGTGCAGTATAGCCCGCAGATCCTAAGATTGTTCGGCAGCCGGAAGCTCTAGCTCTTTTAGCGTTATGCACCGCTAGGTGGCGAGCTAGACTTGTTTTTGAGGCAAGAGACGTATCAGAGGTGGTTTGCCATTGCCTGCCTCTGCGTCATGCCCCTGGTATTCCTTGGCGGCTGCCCGTCACTCTCCCTCAGCCTGCCAGTGAGGATAACGTGGGGGGCAGGGAGAACTATGCTGAATCAGACCCTTGGTCGATCAAAGTCAGTAGCATCTACTCAGACTGGTGGCGGCTTTCCAGGGTTTCAGGCGGAGGTCTTTCACATCACCTCCTACCTGGTCCTTTTCAACTGGGGATGCCGGGGATTGAACCTGGGACCTTCTGCGTGCTAGGCAGAGGCTCTACCACTGAGCCACAGCCCCTCCCAAAAAGAGAACCATGGCTGAATACAAACGAAGCTGCCATACCGAATCAGATGCTTGGTCAGTGTTGTCTACTCAGACTGGCAGCTGTTCTCTAGGGTCTCAGGCGGAGGTCTTTCACATCATCCCCCACCTAGTCCTTTTTAACTGGAGATGCTGGGGATTGAACCTGGGACCTTCTGCATGCCAAGCAGAGGCTCTGCCACTGAGCCACAGCCCCTCTTTACAGCTCTCCAGGGTCTCAGGCGGAGGTCTTTCCCATCACCTCCTGCCTGGTCCTTTCGAACTGGAGATGCCGGGGATTGAACCTGGGACCTTCTGCGTGCTAGGCAGAGGCTCTACCACGGAGCCACAGCCCCTCCCAAAAAGAGAACCATGGCTGAATACAAACGAAGCTGCCATACCGAATCAGATGCTTGGTCAGTGTTGTCTACTCAGACTGGCAGCTGTTCTCTAGGGTCTCAGGCGGAGGTCTTTCCCATCACCTCCTGCCTGGTCCTTTCGAACTGGAGATGCCGGGGATTGAACCTGGGACCTTCTGCGTGCTAGGCAGAGGCTCTACCACGGAGCCACAGCCCCTCCCAAAAAGAGAACCATGGCTGAATACAAACGAAGCTGCCATACCGAATCAGATGCTTGGTCAGTGTTGTCTACTCAGACTGGCAGCTGTTCTCTAGGGTCTCAGGCGGAGGTCTTTCCCATCACCTCCTGCCTGGTCCTTTCGAACTGGAGATGCCGGGGATTGAACCTGGGACCTTCTGCGTGCTAGGCAGAGGCTCTACCACGGAGCCACAGCCCCTCCCAAAAAGAGAACCATGGCTGAATACAAACGAAGCTGCCATACCGAATCAGATGCTTGGTCAGTGTTGTCTACTCAGACTGGCAGCTGTTCTCTAGGGTCTCAGGCGGAGGTCTTTCCCATCACGAACTGCTGAGCTCTAGACCTTCCGGTCTGCAGCTCAGCGTCTTAACCTCTGAGCCACTGCGGCTCGTACCACTCTGGGCTTCTTATAAATTTATTTTATTTAACTTGTATCCTGCCCCCCCCCCCCCCCCACAAGCAGCAAGGAAAAGCAGGATAGAAACCCGATCAACAATGAGGTCGAGGGATGTGGCGGTATTTTGATGATATCACTGGTTTTCCTGCTGCTCGTGCAAGTTTTGGAGTAGTCGTGAGCTCAGCTCAGGTTCCTCTGTTGGTCAATCTGGCTGCACGAGGCTCTTCTTCTATCTTTGACGGCTGATTGTAACAGTTACAGAAATTATTGCCTCTTCATAGAGGTTAAGAGTCACGTTTGGCCTTCTGATCTCCCTCGAAAAAGACTAGGATTACTTATCAGGCATTATTCTCAGAGGCAACTGTTCGATTACCCCACCGTTCGCTGAGAGCCAGCCATTTATCTAGACAATGATCACATGTTTGAGCGAGGGAGATTTAGCCGAAGGTTAAGGGGCTGTTTATCGGAGCCTTGACATGGTGGGCAGATCACATTTCTCCGGATGGAACTTTCCAAAGTTATTGGGTAAGATTTCGGTCTGGTGTGCCTGACTTGGGCTTACGGAAAAATTCTGGAAGACAGTTTAAGGTGACAATCTGATAGATCGGGGGTTACGTGGATTAAAAAAGAATTCTTGAGGAACTAATTGGTCCCGATTCTCTCGCCGGGTGGGAGAGCACGTTATCTTGTTCCGAGGAAAGGGACTATTCTCTAGCAGGCTGTCAAAAGCAGAGATAAGAATAAGAATGAAAATATCAACATGTAATAACTTAAAAGAAAACTGTTATAAGATGATGTATAGATGGTATATGACACCAAAAAAGATTGCAAATATGAATAGTAATATGTCAAACAAATGTTGGAAGTGTAAAAATGCAGAGGGCTCGTTTTATCATATGTGGTGGACATGTGAAAAGGGCAAAAATGTTTTGGGCTGAGATACATGCAGAAATGGAAAAAATTGTGAAATGCAAGTTTAAGAAAGAACCGGAAATACTACTTTTGGGACTTAAAATGGAAGAAGTCAATATGGCAAAAAGGACATTGATGTGGTATATGATCACAACTGCCAGAATGACATATGCTCGATGTTGGAAACAAGATAAGATCCCTGAAATTGGGGAATGGATTAAAAAAATACTTTTTATGGTTGAAATGGATAAAATGACAAGGAAACTTAATAATTTGGAAGCAGAAGAATTTTTTGCAGACTGGACAGACTTTAAAGACTATTTGGAGAAATACTGGGATGTAAAGGACAAAAGGTTGGAGCACTGTGGGAAGCCGAGAAGGGGGGGGGGGAGGAGGGAAGGATATATAATTGTATTTGATATATGTTTGAATTTTTTGTTTCTCATTATATCCTAATAAATTGTGGGGTTTTTTGGGGGGGGAAAGCAGAGATAAGAGACCGGCAACGTTTGATTAGAGAGGCGGCCTCTGCCGCCACGTACCTCCCTGCCGATCTATCTGCACTGCGTGACGCTTTCCACACACAGCCTCCCCCATCAGCAGAGGCCAAAGTACAGGGACCTCCACACAATGGAAGTAAACACTGCCCACGAAGGCCTCCACCACGGAAAAAAGACCGCTTACCTTTGATCCTTTCGACCAAATACTCCTGGTTGGGCGTAAGGTCCAGGTACTGCACGATCATGCTCAGCGTGGGAATGAGGGGCGCTTTCACCAGGGCTGCCTGTTTCAGACTGCTGATGCTGGCGTCTGCGGGGAAATGGAAACAACCCTTCCAATCGGCGAACAGAGGAAAAAAAAATCAAGAACAGGACCCAACAGAAGGGGTTCAGTTCCCCGGGGCTGCAAGTCTCTGGCACTGAAGTCAATCCAATCTATGCTGCGTCACCGCAAATCACGACTAGTATCAGATGCCCAAGGAGAGAGGCCCAAACGAATCAACGATAATGACGCTTGACCGCTTGAAAACCATACAGGAAATCGTAGATGTTCAGAAGAGAAGAACAGATTGGGTTTATACCCCACCCTTCACGACCCAAAGGAGTCTCAGAGCGGCTTACAATCTCCTTTTGAATGTTATTTCTCAGAAGAAGGAGGAGGAGGAGATTGGATTTATTGGATTGGAGAGCCAGTTTGGTGTAGTGGTGAAGTGCGCGGACTCTAATCTGGGAGAGCCGGGTTTGATTCCCCACTCCTCCACTTGCACCTGCTGATGTGACCTTGGGTCAGTCACAAGCTCTGGCACAGCTGTCCTTGAAAAAGGGCAGTTTGTGTCGGAGTTCTCTCAGCCCCACCCACCTCACAGGGTGTCTGTTGTGGGGAGGGGAAGGGAAAGGACTTTGTAAGCCGCTCTGAGACTCCACGTGAAGGGTGGGGTATAAATCCAATCTCTTCTCTTCTTCTTCCTTTCCCCTCCCCACAACAGACACCCTGCGAGGTAGGTGGGGCTGAGAGAGCTCTGACACAAACGGCTCTAGGGAACAGCTCGGAGAGAACTTGTGACTGACCCAAGGCCACACCAGCAGCTGCACGTGGAGGAGGAGTGGGGAATCAAACCTGGTTCTCCCAGATTAGAGTCCGCGCGCCTAACCACTACACCAAACTTGCTCGGTAAAGTTCAAATGCAAAGCATCTGTTTTTCAATACAAGCAGTGTTGGATCGTCAGCGGGATCTATGAGGGAAATGCTTTAAGGCACAAGGCACCATGGGATCAGAAGTCACTGGCCAATCGGCAAGCAGCGTGAGGGAGGGGCCTGCAATGGAACAGACGGATCATTCCCTCTAGGCGAGATGGCCGCCAAGACCTTAACACTTCCGAATGCCTTACCGCCTGGTATAAGTTGCGGATCACTTCCCTGAACTCTTCTAAGATTATCTCAAAATGCTGCTGCTTTAAATCCAGGCACTGAACCTGGAAATAAGCGGGCTTTAGATCGGATAAAGCCGGAACCCTCCCTAGAAGCTCAGGTGACTCAACGGAGGCTATCGTACTTTGGTCACATCACGAGAAGAAAAGACAAACCGGAAAAGACAATCATGCTCGGGAAAGCGGAAGGCAGCAGGAAAAGAGGAAGACCCAACCTGAGACGGACGGACTCTGTCAAGGAAGCCAGGATTTGCTGTATTTGTGACTTTTTTGACTACTTACTGTGTTTTGAATGTTATTTCTCAGAAGGAGGAGGAGGAGGAGATTGGATTTATTGGATTGGAGAGCCAGTCTGGTGTAGTGGCGAAGTGAGCAGACTCTAAACTGGGAGAACCGGGTTTGATTCCCCGCTCCTCCATTTGCAGCTGCTGGATGACCTTGGGCAAGCCACAGTTCTCTCAGAGCTGTTTTCTCAAGAGCAGTCCTCGAAAGGGCTCTCTCAGCCCCACCTACCTCACAGAGTGTCTGTTGTGGGGAGGGGGAGGGGAAGCACTTTGGAAGCCGCGCGGAGACTCCTTTGGGTAGTAAAGGGCGGGGCATAAATCCAATCTCTTCTTCTTCTTATACCCCGCCCTTCACTCGGAGTCTCAGAGCGGCTTACAAACTCCTTTCCCTTCCCCTCCCCACAACAGACACTCTGTAAGGTAGGCGGGGCTGAGAGAGCTCTGACAGAAACGGCTCTTTCAAGAAGAGCTCTGACAGAACTATGGTTTGCCCAAGGTCATCCAGCAGCTGCGAGTGGAGGAGCGGGGAATCAAACCCGGTTCTCCCAGATTAGAGTCCGTGCACTTAACCACTACACCGAACTCTCTGCACTAGTATAACAAGACACTGCCATTCTGTATTGATTACCTTTCAGCTTGTATAACGAATGGCTCTCTCTGAATGGTTATGTGGATACGGCTGTTCTTGTCGTTTTGGAGGTTTAAATTAAGTAAACAGTATTTTTTTTAAAGGAAGCCACACCCCTCACTTTGCAAGACCCGAACAAGGCTGTTAACGTCAGGACGTTTTGGACGACACTGATTGACAGGGTCGCTGTAAGTCGGAAACGACTTCACAGCACACGCGGAACCTGGCACGGGAGCAGAACTTCTGAACTTGTCCTACCTCCGATCTGTAGCTCTGGACAGCCCATCCTTCTCAGTAGAGTGCTCACAGACTCCATTTCTTGCACGAGAGGCACTAAAATGGTCTCGTTAATCCACTGCGGCCAGGCAAAAGGTGGTCGGGGAGAGAAAAGGAGAGGGGGAAAAAACCACAGGAAGAGAAGAAGAGAAGAAGAGAAGAGATTGGATTTATACCCAGCCCTTCACTACCCAAAGGAGTCTCAGAGTGGCTTACAAACTCCTTTCCCTTCCCCTCCCCACAACAGACACCCTGTGAGGTAGGTGGGGCTGAGAGAGCTCTGACAGAAACTGCTCTTTTTCAAGAACAGCTCTTATCAGAACTACGGCTTGCCCAAGGTCATCCAGCAGCTGCAAGCGGAGGAGTGGAGAATCAAATCTGGTTCTCCCAGATTAGAGTCTGCGCACTTAACCACTACACCAAACTGGCTGTGTGAAAGAAGAAGAAGAGATTGGATTTATACCCTGCCCTTCACTACCCAAAGGAGTCTCAGAGCGGCTTACAAACTCCTTTCCCTTCCCCTCCCCACAACAGACACCCTGCGAGGCAGGTGGGGCTGAGAGAGCTCTGACAGAAACTGCTCTTTTTCAAGGACAGCTCTTATCAGAACTACGGCCTGCCCAAGGTCATCCAGACAGGTGCAAGTGGAGGAGTGGGGAATCAAACCGCTGTTCTCCCAGATTAGAGTCCGCGCACTTAACCACTACAGCAAACTAGCAAAACTGAACTCGAAATCGCTATACTAGCACCAGGGAGGGGCCGAGGAGGAAGAAACAGGAACACCAAAACTTCTGTGCCTTTTATAACCTGACCTGCACTTTAATACACCTTACAGCCAATGTTCCCTCCAAGCTGTGAAGTCTTGTGAGCAAAAATTCTACTTCGTGAGCTATTGGCATTAAAGTTGTGAGCCAGCGATTCGGCTCCTGCATAAATCAGTTTGCTCTGGAGCCATTCTTCCTGAGCGAAGACAAAAATGTGTGAGATGGAGGCTAAAAAACTGTGAGCTAGCTCACACTAACTCAGCTTAGAGGGAGCACTGCTTACAGCATATTGAACAAAGTTCGAGTCCAGGGGCACCTTTTAAGCCCAAGAAAGTTTTATTCAAGGTATAAGCTTTCATGTGCATGCACATGAAAGCTTATACCTTGAATAAAACTTTCTTGGTCTTAAAAGGTGCCACTGGACTCGAACTTTGTTCTGGTGCTGCAGACTAACACGGCTACCCACCTGAATGTATTTACAGCAATCATCCAGGTGGTCATCCGTGTTGGCTGTATTTGAAAAAGTGTGCTTGCACATGAAAGCTCATACCCTGAATAAACCTTTGTTGGTCTTAAAGGCGCCTGACTGGACTCTAAATTTGTTACAGCATATTATTAAAGATAAAGTCTGGAAGAACCAGGCAGTGCAAATCGACTCGCTATTGCCCCCATGTGAGCGTGCGAGGCAACGAACACTTTCCACACTAATAGCACAATGTGTAGTCGTGTGCAGAATACTCTATCCTTGCAGCCCAGGAAATTAAAAGAGAAATTTGGTTGCCAAAAATGACAGCTGGAAAAAGAAAGGTGGTTGTGGTGGTGAGCGATGCTCCCTCTAAGCTGTCGAGTCTTGTGAGCAAAAATTCTACTTTGTGAGCTACTGCCATTAAAGTGGTGAGCGAGCTATTTGGCTACTGCATCAATTAGTCTGCTCTGGATCCGTCCTTTCTGAACTGAGACAAAAACGTGTGAGCCAGAGGCTAAAAAACTGTGAGCAAGCTCACACCAGCTCAGCTTAGGGGGAACACAGGTGGTGAGAAAGTCCACAATATCAAATTTGCATTTACTTGTTATTCAAAACATGTCTAGGCTGCCTTTCCACCCAAAGAGGGTCCCTCCCTGCCAGTGTTCCCTCTAAGCTGAGTTAGTGTGAGCTAGCTCACCGTTTTTTAGCCTCCGGCTCACACGTTTCTTGTCTTCGCTCAGGAAGGAGGGCTCCGGAGCAAACTAATTGATGCAGTTAGCCAAATGGCTTGCTCGCAGCTTTAATGCCAGTAGCTCACCAAGTAGAATTTCTGCTCACAAGACTCCATGGCTTAGAAAGGCCCTGCTCCAACCCGGATGGCCCGGGCTAACCCGACCTTGTCCGACCTCGGAAGCTAACTTGGGTTGGATCTGGTTAGTACTTAGATGGGAGACCAATATCACATTGTATCTGACTGTCAATTTCACTCAGTCTTACGCAAAGAACTGTTGTCATCTTTATTTCCTCCTAATTATAGTTCTAATAGGGGAAAAGTTATTCAAAATCTACTAAAGGGTTCTAATCCTAATATTACGGCTATAGTGGCCACGTTTCTTGCCGAAGTAGTCAAAGATAGATCTATTCTAGTATAGGATTGGTTCATATTGCTTATAACGTCTTATATATCCATGCCGTGTTATTGTACATCTATGTATCTTACTGCTATGCCATTAAAGGTATTTGACTTTGACGGGAGACCACCGAGGAAGTCCGGGGTTGTGACACACAGGGCAAATCACCTCTGTTTGTCTCTTGCCTTAAAAACCCTACGGACAGGGGTCATTTCCTGCAGGAGCACACAGGAGCGGAGCTCCGGCAGTAAAGAGCCCAGGAGGTGGGCACATGCAACAAGCCCTGCCCCCTGCTCCCAGCAGCCCTCAGTCAGAGCAAGAAGCAGCAGAGGCCCCCCTCCCGGGCCCCCCGGTCCAAAACAGTCCAGTGGCACCTTTAAGACCAAGTTTTATTCAGGTACAAGCTCTCCCTCCTCTATGAGGACAGATCTGCCCGTCCCCCGTCCCCCCCAATAGCTTGCAATCCAAAACAGTCCAGTGGAGCCTGAGCGGTGGGTGTTGCCTTCTGACACACTTCCGGTCATGTCAGGGGGCGTGGCATATGCAAATGAGTTATGCTAATGAGTTATGCTAATGAGCTCCTGCACCTCTTTTTCTACAAAATGACCCCTGCCTACAGAGGCCACCAATGTTCCCTCTAAGCTGTGGAATCTTGTGAGCAAAAATTCTGCTTTGTGAGGTACTGGCATTAAAGTTGTGAGCGAGCGATTGGGCTACTGCATAAATTAGTTTGCTCTGGAGCCATCCCTTCCTGAGCTAAGACAAAAACGTGTGAGCCTGAGCCTTAAAAACTGTGAGCTAGCTCACACTAAATCAGCTTAGAGGGAACAATGGAGGCCACCCGAAGTTGGCGGCGACTTCCAGCCCTACCTATCACCACCAGGGTCCCCGGAGCTGGCAAATTCATTCATTTATTCATCAAGTGACTTGCTCCAGCCCCGACAAGCTCAGAGCAGCTTCAGGGCGGTTCCCAGGTGGTCTCCCATCAAGGCAAAAGCTATCCAGGTAAGCAAGGGCATCCTGGCCAATCAGAGCTCCTTCTGTAGCGGGAACTCCTTTGCGTATTAGGCAACACGCCCCCTAATGTAGCCAATCCTCCGAGAGCTTACAGTAGCCTGTAAGAAGAGTTCTGTAAGCTCTTGGGGGATTGGCTACGTTAGGGGGTGTGTCGCCTCATATGCAAAAGAGTCCCTGTTACCAAAAGAGCTCTGCTGGCCATTAAGGAACGCCCAGGTGGGTGCACAGATGGCAAAGACATAGCAGAGGGCCCTCCGGCTCTACACAAGGGAGCCGATGCTGTGAGCAGTGCTCCCTCTAAGCTGAGTTAGTGCGAGCGAGTTCACGGTTTTTTAGCCTCCGGCTCACCCATTTTTGTCTCGGCTCAGGAAGGGATGGGGCTCCGGAGCAAACTGATTTAGGCAGCAGCCAAATGGCTCGCTCACGACTTTAATGACAGTGGCTCACAAAGTAGTATTTTGACTCACAAGACTCCACAGCTTAGAGGGAGCCATTGGCTGTGAGCCGGCAGCCCTCATCCTGCCCGAGGTGGACAGGAAAACGCCACGATCCCGCTCTCCCTCCTGTCCTAGTCCCACCCCAGTCCAGGGGCAGGGCTCCTTTTCCAGACCCGTCCTGGCCTCCCGGTCCACCCCTGCGGGCCAGGAACACGCCGGATTCCGAAGGGAAGGGGACAGGACTCACGTTTCGGAACTTGGCCGTCCAGGAGTCCATGTGGTCCAGCAGCTGGCGACTCATGGACACCCTCGCCCAAACCTGCGCGAGAAAAGCGAGGGGCCTCAGAGCGGGAGCTGGGAATCCCAAATCCCGCCAGGCAGCCTTCGCGACATATCAATCATCCAAGGTGGCTCGTTAAAGTGAGAGCCGGCCCGGTGTCGTGGTTAGAGGGCCGGACTAGGTTTTAGGAGACCCGTGCCTGAGTCCCCACTATGCCATGGAAACTTGGGCTAGCCACGTAGTCTCAGCCTGACTAGAGATGTGAAAGCCCGGAAAAAACCCGGGAAAATTTGGGGGGAAACTGTTTTTTCCTTTTTGATTTTTTCCGAAAATTTGAAAAAATTACAAAAAGAAAAGAGGAAAAAAATTATTATGGAATGTTTTACTTTAACATGATGAATAAAATATTTTAAGACAAGGTGTTCAAATATTTTCCAAATCATTTCTGAAAAATATGTATGGTATCACAAAGCCCGGGAAAAAATGGGAAAATCTGGGGAAAAACCGTTTTTTTCCTGAAGCCTTTTTTGATTTTTTCCGAAAATTTGAAAAAATTACAAAAAGAAAAGAGGAAAAAAATTATTATGGAATGTTTTACTTTAACATGATGAATAAAATATTTTAAGACAAGGTGTTCAAATATTTTCCAAATCATTTCTGAAAAATATGTATGGTATCAGATTGATCTAATTTCTGTGCACTGAGGACAAGCAAGTCCTAGGTTACCAACTGTACTCTCCAATGCAAGAACAAGATGCATTTCTTCCTTTAGGAGGTGCTATTGTCACAAGAAAAGAAAAAGGTTTCAGATTTGTTTTTGCATGTGGGTGGGTATTCTGTATGTAATCATTGTTTGGCTACACTATATTTTTAATATGCTAGTTGTGATAATTTCATGCCAAGTAAAAATGTCCATAGTTATATTTTAAGTTCCTAAAGTAGCAGAATGACTTTCAATCTGGAAAAAAAAGAAGAAGTGCGAATGTAGCATTTTTTCAATTTTTCCGAAAATTTCCGTTTTTTCCAGGCTTCAAAATTTCATCCTTTGCCGCGGGGGGCCCCGGGGGGGGGGGGGGGGGGGGGGAGTTTGCCTTCCTCTGAGCATGCAGCAGGGGTTACTAAGGGAGTGGGGGGGAAGGTAGCTGTGAATGTCCTGCAGTGTGCAGGGGGTTGGACTAGATGACCCTGGAGGTCCCGCTACATTAGCCACTTTGGGTCCTCATGGAGGAGAAAGGGGGAACATAAAAGCAACTCAATACATAAATAAGTGGGATACACAGCCTGACCTCTTATGCTTTTACTTGATACTTATTCCAAAGTAAGCCCCCCACCCTGGGTGCAGTGGGACTCGCTCCTCTGCTCACCAAAGACTGTACCACTAAAATGTATTGGCTCATAAAGAACGTTACCAAAAGGCAGCATCTTTCCCTTTGCCGGGTCCTACTCACCTCTTCAGCGGCCTGCTTGGAACTGAGGTCGGCCTCGTCCTTGTGGGCTGAGGGCGCCTGAGACCTGCACGCGGGCTGGTACTGGAACTTCCGCAGCATCTGGGCATAGTCCGCCATGGACCGGCTGTAGTTCCAGAAGGTGGGACTGCTGGAAGGAGAGCTGGAATCCAGGCTACCTGTACATTCCAAGCAAACCAGCACACAGGGAATGGAGACTGGCTGGTAACAGCTGAACTGTGAATAGGTGAATCTGCCCTACACTGAATCGGACCCCTGGTCCACCAAGGTCAGTATTGTCTACTCAGACTGGCAGCTGCTCTCCAGGGTTTCAGGCAGAGGTGCCTTTTAATTTTAACTGGAGATGCCAGGGATTGAACCAGAGACTTCTTATAATACACAAACACATGAAGCTGCCTTCTACTGAGTCAGACCATCAGTCCATCATATTAAGTATTCTGCTCAGACTGGCAGCTGCTCTCCAGGGTCTCAGGCTGAGGTCTTTCCCATCACCTCCTGCCTGGTCCTTTTAACGGGAGATGCCGGGGATTGAACCTGGGACCTTCTGCATGCCAAGCAGAGGCTCTTCCACTGAGCCACAGCCCCTCTTTGCAGCTCTCCAGGGTCTCAGGCTGAGGTCTTTCCCATCACCTCCTGCCTGGTCATTTTTAGCTGGAGATGCTCGGGATTGAACCTGGGACCTTCTGCATGCCAAGCAGATGCTCTGCCACTGAGCCACGGCCCCTCTTTACAGCTCTCCTGGTCCTTTTAACGGGAGATGCTGGGGATTGAACCTGGGACCTTCTGCATGCCAAGCAGAGGCTCTGCCACTGAGCCACGGCCCCTCTTTACAGCTCTCCTGGTCCTTTTAACGGGAGATGCTGGGGATTGAACCTGGGACCTTCTGCATGCCAAGCAGATGCTCTGCACTGAGCCACGGCCCCTCTTTACAGCTCTCCAGGGTCTCAGGCGGAGGTCTTTCCCATCACCTCCTGCCTGGTCCTTTTGACTGGAGATGCCGGGGACTGAACCTGGGACCTTCTGCATGCCAAGCAGAAGCTCCACCACTGAGCCACGGCCCCTCTTTACAGCTCTCCAGGGTTTCAGGCTGAGGTCTTTCCCATCACCTCCTGCCTGGTCCTTTTGAACTGGAGAAGCTGGGGATTGAACCTGGGACCTTCTGCATGCCAGGCAGATGCTCTGCCACTGAGCCACGGCCCCTCTTTACAGCTCTCCAGGGTCTCAGGCTGAGGTCTTTCCTATCACCTCCTGCTTTCCTATCACCTCTCTCAAGAACTAGAGATGCCGGGGATTGAACCTGGGTCCTTCTGCGTGCCAAACAGAGACTCTGCCACTGAGCCATGGCCTCTCCCCGGTGTGCAGGCATTAGCTGTTGGGGGGGGGGAGGTTATATAGAGTGGAACTGCTTACCCAGTTGAACTCTATGCTGTTTCTCATCCTCGCTCCGAAGGAAGCTCTCGAGCGACTTGAGGTCCGTCATGTAGTCCTCCTTGCCAGTCGGCGAGTTATACACAGTCGGCGAGGAGCGGTAGCGAGACCTCATTCCGCTGGTATCCATTGGACCAAGGCTGGTGGGGTACGGAGGAGAGCCTGGAGACGGGCTGAAAGGGTGCCCCTTGGGTTGAACGAAAAGAATAGCTGGCATCAGAACGGTGAGAGGAGCAACACTGGCTCTTGTTATGTTCTTATAGAAGAGACGCGACTAAGGGGGTGGGGGGAACGACATATGATACAGGTTTCATAAAACTGTGCATGGGGTGGAGAGCGCTGACAAAGATCACTTTCCCTCCCTCTCCCGAAAGACTAGAACTCGAGGCCATCCGGTGAAGCTGATGGGCAGTAGGTTCAGGACGGACAAAAGGAAATGCTGCTTCACAGAGGGAGTGATCCCAACGTGGAATTTGCTGCCAGAGGATGTAGTCACATACCAAGGGAATAAACAGCTTTCAAAGGGGATTAGATGGATTCGTGGAGGAGAAGTCCAGGCCAGTTTGGCTGGAGATCCTGGAGGTTTTTTGTCACCTTGTGGGCATGGAACGGCAGTCACTGGAGGTGTGTGTGTGTGTGGGGGGGAGGTGTTTGTGAATTTCCTGCATTGTGCAGGGGGTTGGACTAGATGACACTGGAGGTCCTTTCCAACTCTATGATAAATTTTTCATTACTATAATCTAGTCAAGAAGGAGAAGGAGAAGAAGGAGGAGGAGAAGGAGGAAGGAGAAGAAGGAGAAAGAAAAGAAGGAGGAGGAGGAGGAAGAAGGAGAAGAGGAGGAGATTGGATTTATACCCTGCCCTCCACTCAGAGAGGCTTACAAACTCCTCTCCCTTCCCCTCCCCACAACAGACACCCGGTGATGCAGGTGGGGCTGAGAGAGCTCTCTCAAGAACTGCTCTTGAGAGAACAGCTCTGAGAAAACCGTGACTGACCCAAGGCCACGCCAGCAGCTGCATGTGGAGGAGTGGGGGAATCAAACCTGGTCCTCCCAGATTAGAGTCCGCGCACTTATCCCCGACACCAAACTGGCTAAGATACAAGCTGATGGAGGAAAACGCCTTACCTTATTGTAGCTGCTGCCCGGCGAATAGGACATCGAGGTGCTGAAGGAGCCGCTCCCGCCGGACAGACCCTGCATCTGAGGGCTGTAGCTGGACATACAGCTGGCGGGAAACTTGGGGCTGGCGCTAGGTGAACGGGAGGGGCTGTAACTCAGCACGCTTTGCCCCTGGACTGGAGACGAGGTTGTGGAAGGGGGCGTTCTCTTCGGCACCAGCTCATGCGGCGGAGTTGTTTGGACCACTGAAATGAAGACACACAGGCGCCAACTGAAAAGGGGTGCCGGAGACAAGAGGTCCCTGGCAATGATCCCTCTAAGCTGTGGAGTCTTGTGAGCAAAAATTCTACTTTGTGAGCTACTGGCATTAAAGTTGTGAGCGAGTGATTTGGCTGCTGCATAAATTAGTTTGCTCTGGAGCCCTCCTTCCTGAGCGAAGACAAAAATGGGTGAGCCGGAGGCTAAACAACTGTGGGCTAGCTCACACCAACTCAGCTTAGAGGGAACATTGGTCCCTGGGCCCCTCTGGGGAGTTTATCCAGCAAGGGACATCAGCAGATTGCAGTTCAGGGACACAAACAGGGTCTCAGCCAGTCTTCCCTTCTAAGCTGAGTGAGTGTGAGCTAGCTCACAGTTCTTCCGCCTCCGGCTCACGCATTTTTGTCTCAGCTCAGGAAAGAGGGCTCCAGAGCAGACTAATATATGCAGCAGCCAAATGGCTTGCTCACAGCTTTTATGCCGGTAGCTCACAAAGTAGAATTTTTGCTCACAAGATTCCACAGCTTAGAGGGAGCATTGGTCTCAGCTACTTGAGCTTAGTATTCCACAATGAAGAAGGATGCGTTTACACAGGAGTCACTTCGTAGAAAAAGAGGTGCAGGAGCTCATTAGCATAACTTATCTGCATATGCCACACCCCCTAACTTCACCGGAAGTGTGTCAGAAGGCAACACCCACCGCTCAGGCGCCA